CATTACCCATTTAAGCCATCTCCAGCCATTATAAATATTAGTATTTTTACCTTTTTACTTGAAGTGCAGCAAGTCACAATGGAATCTAAAATAATAACGTATTTCTGGTGGTTACATGACTGTCAGTATACACAATGAAAAAACAGAAGTGACTCTGTATACTTATATTTAAAGAAATACAAAAAATGTATCACAATAAATGGTGCCTTTAAAAATTGTTCATCTCAGTAAATTAGTAGTTTGTCTTTTGCTCCAGTCTGTTTTAGCATTTAAATATAATAAATTAGTTGTGTTATTAATATAAATTTTATGTGAGATTTTTGATACAGAACAAGCAAAAACATAAAGACCTGTATATTTAAACTAATTATTAAGTCAATAAAAAAATGTACTTTTTACATGGCTGTATATGCACTGCATACAAGATGGCAAGGGTTGCATATGACAAGATGAGAATTGTATGAAACTTTCAACTTCAAAATATTATTTTCTTTACAGTTCTTGAGATATCATTAGAAACAAATTTTATTAAGGTAGATGTAACAGTTTGAATTAAATGTTACTTTGAATAAAAGCAGTAAATCGAAGGCAGATAAAATCATGTCATGCTGAAAGGATTACATTTGATTTTTGAAGTGCTGGAGATATCGCATATATTTTTGGAATAAATGAAGTAAGTAAAGAAAGAATGCAGCTTAAAAATGGAAGATAAAAGAATTACCTAAGTTGTATTGACATTTCACCAGAGTTAACCAGACATCATCAGGATAATAGATAATGCTGATTAAAGTAAGGTGATAAGTTAAGATTTTTGGTATGATACGTAGAGATACATAAAATTCAGAAAATTCAAATTGTATTAGAAAAACTGTTGATTTCTAAAATTAACTGTATAACGATAAGTTAAATGGGTTATTGTTACACTAATTTGAAGAATGTGGAATTGTTTAACATTTGTAACTGCATTTAATTGTTGAGTAAATCATTAATAAACACTTTAGGTGTTAAGAAAAAAGGAGCAAAGATTCTTCTGTTTTTATTAATTGCACAGCTAAAGTTTATGGTTTTAGTCTGTCATAAACTAAACCTGAATTTAAAACCTTATGGTTATTGAATAGGTTTTGTAACAAATAGTAGGAATATTCAATATCCTCTTATGTAAATTATACTTTCTAAGAAATATATGAATAGTTTTTCATTAATTTTGTACTTTCTTATTACTGTATTTAGAAACCATATAATTTTAGGAAACATGAGGATGGTGTCTTTTAAACTTCTGTAAAAATAATAGCAATATCAAAATATTGAAAACTGAGAATCTAAACAAATCAGATTATGATACTGATTAAAGTGGAGACCATTGTAAACAGTAATTCAAACTTTCATCTGTACTATTTTAATCGAATAATGAAAAAGAAAAGTATGATAACTACAAAAATAAATCTCAATAACATTTCAAAAAAAAACACAATAGTTAATAATGTTAATATTAGTATCTCACTATAGATTATCAATGTTAATATTAGTATCTCACTATAGATTATCAATGTTAATATTAGTATCTCACTATAGATTATCAATGTTAATATTA